TCTTAACGGCAAGGCTTTGACTACACCGAACAAGCTTGAGTAACAAACGTGCAGAGTACTAAATTACTCTAAACACAAAGAAGCTCCACAAGGTTTGTAATAACCTCGACAATAACTCAAGAAATATTTTCTGATGTGGAAGATCAGTTAAAAACTGCAGCCACAGAGCATACTCAGAATTTCAAGAGATCTTAAAAAACGTGGCTCGGATACCAATTGTTAAATCAAAATAGAGTAAAAACTCTAATTGATCCAAAAAAAAAACTCTCTTTAGAATAATCTCACAAAATTGCAAAAGGGAAGAACTCTTAAGAAAGCTTTCAAATGCTTATAATTAAGCTTTGATTGTTGGATGATAAAACTCAAATACAAGTAGGGTATTTATAGGTTACAAGAAACAATCTAAACCACTCATTAAAATAAACACTAAATAATCTAAACCATTGAAATTAAAACATGAGAAAAATACTTAATTTTCACCTAACTAAATTGATGTAAGCAATGACATCAAAACTAAATTGATGTAAGCAATGACATCAAATTAATTTAGGTGTGAACATATAGGCTAATATTGAATTTTCAACATCCTTGAGGTCCCGAGTTCAAGCAATGCATATGTAGGTGTATGAGCGTTCATTGTCAAATAATTAAAAGTCTTTGTACATATACTACCTTGTATCTACCTTAAATGTATAATAAAAAACTCAAAATTCACAAGAGAACTTCTAATTTATCTAATATTTAAATTTATAATGACCTAAATTGTAATTAGACTAAAAATTTGAGAACACGTACTTATCATTCTTTAGTTCGACCACTACTTGATTAAATATTTTATAAAATTTTTATATTTTTAAACTTAAATATTTATTTTTACATCAACCAAAATACTATTAAACCAATATTATATTGAATATATAAATTTTAACAGGGGTTGCAGCCCTTAGGCCCTAAGGGAACTTCGTCCCTGGTTGCCGGGGACTATCAAGATTTGGAAGATGGATTTTAGGATAAGATCTTTATTAATTATTTATTAAAAAGAATAATTTAAAAAATATTGAAACATTAAATATCAAAAAAAAATTCAATGTTATGTTGGACTAAATTGATAGAATTTTTAATATCGAGAATTTATTATTTTATTTCATTTTAGGATCAATTTGATGAAATGCGTAAGTTTTTTGGACTAAAACTATCATTATAATATGTCACGTCACTATTTCTATTAAGTTAACAATCAAACAACATTGGGCTGTCAAAATAGAATAAAACTTAGATCTAGATATAATTTTATAAAAAATAATAGTTCAATGACTAATATGAAAATACAAAAATAGGTAAGACATCTAATAGATAGTTTACTCAAAATTTAATACCAGTAAAGATATACTAACAAAATCGATCATTGGAATCAGATGATTAAGATTGACATTTAGACACAAAAAACAAGAAAAAAGAAGTCAGTTTCAACGAAGTTGAAGTCTGAACCATAAAGAGATATTTATTATAAAAATTAAAAAAAACAATTAATCCACCACCGACATTTTCTTCTCCAAATTAAATTTGAACGTACGTCCAACATAACTATTATTTTAAAAGTATAGAAAAAAAATCAACATTAATGATGTAATTCTTAGTAATAAAATTTTATGAAATAAAAAGATTTGACATATATAAAAGTTGGTATTAATTTTAATAACATAAAATATAAATTACTCTGATTAATTGGAGAGTTTAAGACTTTTTTTCCGTTTAATTGAAGTTTTATTAAGTTTAAATCTATAAGGATGTTAAATTAATATTTAAAAAGTAAAAAAAAATTCAGAATAAATTTATAATTGCCATTTTATAATTACTGTTTACTATTAAATTTAAATAAATGTTTTTATAATAACAAAGGAAAAACAATATTAGATCAATTTCAGAAAAATTAAACCCTCAATCTTTTTGAAATATTTTTTTTGATAGAAAGCCATTAGTTTTATTAAAAATATAAAATATATATAATTACAATGAAGATTTACAAATACAATATAAACGTAAACAAAATTATAATTAGGATATTTTTTATAGTCATTGACACATAAATTAGCCACCTAGGTCACACAAGAACCAAATAAGGAAAATGTTAAAAAAAACTAATCAAAAAGCTCGGGCAAAATAAAGATATAAACAAATCTGACTGCATCGAAAAACGAACCACAAAAGGAGATAAAGTTACTGAAGGCCATCGAAAAATTGTAAATCAGAGTCAAGTAAAGCGAAAAAACTATCCATGAACGCTAAATGCGTATCCAAATCAATTCGAGAGTACAAAGCAGGGAAGATCATCATGATAACAAATAAAAGTCATCTTGATCAGTCATGACGAAGTCAAATTAAACTCTGAGAAAAAAGATAAACGAAAATAATGGAAAAAACCTGTAAGATACCAAAAGACAGAGAAAAACGTGTCATAAAGACAAAATATGTTACAAAAATATAATTATTCTTATTAAAAAACTAAAAAAAAATAACAGACGGGCGACAACAAGTATCAAAATCAATGTCGTCGCGGTTAAAAAAAATTAAAGAAAAAAAAGTTAGATTGATCAATAAAATTAATACAAATTGTAAAGAAGGAAGAAAGTGGCGAGCAATCTTTTGAAATATTAAATCTTACTTAAACATATTTCAAAATATTAAACTTTTAACTATCTATTTCGAAAAATCAAACTCTGGCATAAACAATAGTTAAAACAAACTAATAAACTTGTGCTGCTATCATCTTCACGTAAAGTTGTAAAAACCTCCATCGGGGGCTGATAAACTTGAGGCAATCATAGGTGTTGTGATCCGCCATCTTCGCCAACAAATCTGCTACCTTATTTTCGTTTCGAGATCCATACCGTAATTGTACTGTCCAATCGAGTCGTAATAATGTAGCGATGTAATTCAAAAGGGTAATCCTATTTTCATCTGTCGAAGCTGCTGCAATAAGATCCAATGTCTCCACACGATCTAATTCTAGTAAAATATGAGTTTCCTGTAGCTCCCATGCACATTAGAGTCCCATAAAAGCTCCCCAAAGCTCAGCTTCAAGAACGGAACATATTTCGATAAATTTAGCAAAGCCCATTTTTTATTCCCCTTCATGGTTTCGAATAACCCCTCCATAGCTAGAAAGTCCCGTTATCCTGTTCCGTGTTCACTTTCGCCCATCAGCTAGTTGGTCTTGTCCATCTTTCTCTTCGAATACCACAGTTAAGTTGAGGCTGCCGATTTACGCAACCTAACAGACTTGCTCGGATTGTATTCTCCATCAGCTGTTTTCCACGTTCAATTGCCGATCTACTATCCTCCGGCCATATATCGAAAACATTGGTGTTACCCATATGTTAATACACAAAAGTATATATTCGGTAAGAAATTAATTTCGGGAACACTTCTTGCATATTCCAGAATCCAGATTTAAAAAAGTAAAACAAAAGGAAAAGAGAGAAAAATTAAAATCATGTAACCAATAATTAATTGGTCTAGTGAGATGAGACATTAGATCTCTTAAGTAAAGTCAAAAGTTAAAATTATAACGTTTGTGAAATGAGCAAACGGGGTTGGAAAGTCAACCTCACATATACAATATTTAATCGAAATTAATTGATTAATAAATCAGATATCAATGATTAATTCAAAAAATATAAAATAATATATATTTAACGATTCTCAATAATTTCATAATAAATATTTTATTTTACCTACACAATACTAGAACCTATAACTTCAAGAAAATTCAACAATCTCTTAAATAAAAATGTCGGCATGTAAAAAGCTTCCAAGCCGCTGCGTGAAGGTTTTTTTTTTTATAATTTGGTTCGGTAAATTACCACTCTTCCATCCTCGCCGAAAAGAAAACAAAGATTTGTCCAATTATGCTGTAATTATGATTATTTCCCACAATAAATATTGATCATGAGAATCAGAGATGTAGAAATGCGTAAGAATATTATTACAATACTAGTATTTATATCTCTAAAAAAGCTGATATATTTAATCTTTATAACTTATTTTTTTAAATACCTCTTTAATAAAATTAGATTTTTGTCTCTTTCTTCTTTTTTTACCGTTTGTGCCATTTTTTATAGATTAAATCAATTTCTTCTTTGATTTTCTTTAGCCGACGACGACATTAAATTTGATGTTAATTACCAACCGTCGATTACTTTTTCTCTTTGTTTTTTTAGTTTTTTAATAAGAATATATTTGTCTTTGTATCACATTTATATATGCCTCTGTGACACATTTTTCTCTGCTTTTTGGTAGTTTTCGATCGTTTGACCGTTGTTTTCATTTATCTTTTTTTTTTCAGGGTTGGATTAGACATCGCTACAATTGATCAAAATTATGTTTATTTGTTATCATTTTGATATTCCCTACTTTTAACTTCGGATTGATTTGCATACACGTTTTACATTCGTAGATAGTTTTCTCACGTCGCTCGACTCTAATTTGTGATTTGTTGGTGGTCTTTCGATAGCTTCATCCCCTTTTGGTTAGGTTTTTTAACATTTTTTCTTTGGTCCTTGTGTGGTCTAGGTGACTAGTTTTTGTGTCAATTGTTATATGAAAAATGTTTTAATTATATTTTTGTTTATGGTTATACTTGTAAATTTTCATTGTAATTCTGAATATTTTATTTTTTAATAAAACAAACGGTTTTTTTACTAAAAAAATAAAATTACAGTTTTTAAAATAATATATTAACTATATGTACTCCCACTCCTCCTGTGTATGGAATTATATGAACTTATTTTATAGCGTAGGGCTCTATAGAAAGAGGAAGACAAGGAGCCTGATTGATTTTGTCGGCCAAATTTGGATTTATCTTTAAGTAATATCAACGTGGCGGCAGTTCCCTGACGACAGATTTGCAGCCAAGTGGGAAACTACTGCTTCTTGCTTCTCCTTTCTCCTCTCTTTATCTACTACTATATTGAGAATATATAATATAGCTTTTGAAGCAAACCGTCATCTTCCATTAAACCTAGCATCAACAATCTCTTGCTTTCTGGTTATGGCTTCCAAGCTATATAATCGCTAAAAGCAAGAGAAAACTGAAAACCCCGTAAAAGGGTTTTGTTTTGTTTCTTTTAGTTTTAGTTTAGATATTAGGGTATTTCGATGGCAGGTGATTGTTGTTCAAGTTCGAGTTCTACGAGCGGAGAGAAGCAAAAGGTGCAAGGCGGCCGGCAACAACAACAACAGAAACAGAAGAAGGAGAAACCATTCAGAGGGATAAGGATGAGGAAGTGGGGGAAATGGGTGGCTGAAATCCGAGAGCCGAAAAAGAGGTCCAGGATTTGGCTGGGTTCTTACACCACGCCGATAGCCGCCGCTCGTGCCTACGACACCGCCCTCTTCTACTTGCGTGGACCTTCGGCTAGGCTCAACTTCCCCGACCTTTTATCACAAGAAGACGATCAACTTAGGGACATCTCCCCCGCTTCCATTCGCAAGAAAGCAACCGAGGTCGGCGCTAAAGTTGACGCTATACAAACCGGCTCACTTCATCATCATCGTCGTCGTGCTTCTACTTCATCGGAATCATCGAACCCCGATCGAGTCTCCTCGAAGCCTGATTTGAACAAGTACCCAGAATCTTCCGGTGAAGATTGAAATGATATATAACAAAACAAAACAAAAATAACTGTTCATAAACATCAGTGCTTTGTTCAAGTCTTTTTTTATTCTCTCATGGAATAGTAAGTTGTCAAAGAATAGAATCAATAAAGAAAAAAAATGGGTTGATTCCGTTTGATAAGGTTAGGTTTTTTTTCTTTTTACTTTGGATTGCAACTTGTAATATGGATGATATAGTGATGAAACAGGATGGCTATTTAACTCCACTTAGCTGAGTTAGTGATTATAAAGTAATGATTATTTTATTGTAGGTTATTTCCATTAAACGAAAAATGATAAGGAGATAAGAATGAAGTATGAATATAGGCATATGAAAACACAGCGAAATTAAAGAGGTGGTGGTCCTGCGGTTGTCACCGTCATGAATGGTGGTTCCTTACGAAAGGGTTTGTTTGTTTGGTGGAAGTTGATAGGTGATCAAAGGTGGAACGTTGAGTGAGTGAGGCTCTGGGGTTCTCTCTCCTTTTTAAGTGATTATTGAGATTTTTGGAACAGAATATGTTTCTACACACACAAAAAAAAGTCCTCTTTCAAAGAGACTGAGAGAATATAATAAGAGAAATTGGCATACAGAAAATTTTAATGGGATTGGAGGATATTAGAAAAATATTAAAACCGATTATATCTTTTTACTTATGCAAGAAAACTTGATTGTTTGACTAGAGAATGTTCAGAGGAAAATAAGCAATTAATATTGAAGATTTGTAGGTATGGAAAATTACTAAAGATCAAATTTATTTTAATTTGGATTGTAAGAACTTGACTTTGTAACCTTATTTACTGAAGCTTTATTTTACTTTCGTAAGGGTGAAGGAGAGAGCTTAAAGCTCATGTATTTTTTTTATGAGGAATTTTTTTGTGTGATTTTCTTAAACACTGTTTTAGCAACTTGTGCTAATATTTTTTTGGTGGGGGGATTTAGTGATTGGTATCGACGTCTTATATGTGAGGAAGTGGTAAAAATTGATCGGCTTTGATGAGATGATGATGCATTGATTGGTCAATCGTTATTTATTCTTTCTAATAAATGAAAGATTTATTTCGAGAGTCGAGAGAAATCATTCAAGAAAAATCAATTAATAAATTTGTGTATTTATGTTCAATTTCTCTTTTTAGATAGAAAAAAAATAATTATATATTCTAAATTTTAGATAGAAAAAAATCAATTAATAAATACGCTAAGTTGAAATCAAAATAGAGTTACATCTAAATACACAAGGGTCTACATTAGTGCATGTCCTCTAATGCAAATCAAGACGTATTATGAAGATCTTTGTTGAGCTTAAATATCTGGTGACGACGACACTCCCGAACTGATCACCTAAGGACCTGCGCACAATAACACATTTCATACGTTGAGCTTACGAGCTCAATGTCACAATAATAATTGTATTGTACTACATGAACCCTCAATAACACATTTCATACGTTGAACTTTCAACCCAAAATGTCCTATTGAGGTTCCCAATTGTTATTTAAGTCTTATGTATGATTCGAGGGATCATAAAAAGGCTTTTTAACGTCTGAAACATCAAAAGATGCAATTTACCATGGACATGCTTCATAACTCATGCAACCAACCAAAACACGCCTAATGAGCTACATGTGGTAGAGTTGAGTTAGAAGTGAGTTACCTTGTGATTCTGAATTGCTAGAAGTTTCCAAGGCTCAACCCAAGACAAGTTTTTCTTTCCCATAGCTTTGGAGCTTTCTTCAAATTCTCTCACTAAGCAAGAAATCAAAGAATAAATTACTAATTGGTTTGGGAGGTTAGAAAGGTATTAAAAACACTTTCTAAAGATAAAATCCTTCAACAAGGGGTTGAATAACTAAGGTTTCTCAAACCCCACTAAAACCCACGTTTTGAAAATCATGGCCAAAACTTGATCTTATGGTCTCAAATTGAAGTCGTAGAGGTGCTAGTTTTGATTCTTGCCTTTAGAATGTCAAACTAGAGTCGCAAGGTTATCTAGTTATCAAAGGAAAAGAAGAATATAAAGCCTTTTGTGAGGAAAAAGAGATATCAGATGTGATATCATCCTTTTTAAATGGACATCCATCCTTTCAAAAAGAAAAAGGTTAAATTACTCCCTTGGTCCCTCAAGTGTAACATCCTTAATACTGGGTTAGTGATCAAATTGTGAGATTTTAAATTTCAGTGATCAAACTAGATAAATTGAGAATAATTCAAGGATTTAATTGAAATATTTGGTGAAGGATGATTTAGCAAATGAAAGAAGAAGAAAGGGGTAAATGAGTCATTGAACAAGGAAAATAATTAAATAATAATTATGGTATTTTAATACCCATGTGGAGCATGTTTTGGGAAACAAAGTTTCCAGACAATTCTTCATCATATTCTTCTCCACTGTGAAGCACCCCAAGCTAAGGTGAGTTTGATTTCTTTTGGTTAATCCTTAAGATTCAAGTATGATTTTGGTTAATGAAGATTTAGGAAACATGATGAAGATGAAAAAGGTCATAGAAACTCAAAGATTTGTAAGTTTTAAGGATTAAAGATAAGAAGTGGATAAGTGAAATTTTGAATAAGGATGTATAAATGAATTTAGAAGTTAAATTTGACTTGTCATACGTATGAATAGAAAGTTATAAGTGTTAGAAGTAACTTTGGATTACATGGAAAAGTTAGTAAGATTCTTAGTTTTAAGAATCTGAATGAGATATATGAGATAATAAGGTGTTTGAATGATAGAAGTTAGTTAAAATGGTTGTAGTGGAGTTGGGTGATATAAAAGAAGTTTTATATAAGGAAGTTTAATGAAGAGTTCTGGAATTTCGGGGGGAAAAGTCTGTTTTGGGCAGGGTGTACCGGTACACTATGAATAGGCACTGATACACTAAGACCAATGTTGAAGGTGTATCGATACATTAAGGGATGTACCAATACCTGTGAATTTCGAATTGAATTTGGGTACCGATGCACCATGAGTGTATCAGTACACTCCTAAAGGAAAATATGAATTTTAGATTAAATTAGTTTAAGTTATTAGCATTGAATTATAAGGTTTAGACTTCTGATAATTATCTTGAAAATTATATTTATGTAGATACAGAGCCTAAACGAGTTCTGGAACAATTGACAAGAAGGATTGATCGAGAAAAAGATAAGGAAATATAGGTAAGTGCATATGCATAGCATGATATTATAGTGGTGTATTCCGCTTTAGACTTGTGATAAGTCTAGAGTCAATACAATAATATATGATTACATTCCATGCTATAATACATGACTTGAGTTTATATTAAATGCATTATGTGATGATGATTATAAATAAATATGCACGAAAAGTTACTTGAGTTATGTGATAAAGGTGAGGAATTATATGTCTACGAGATATACTATGTGAATTGTGATAAGCCCATGTTATGTAGATGAGAACTATAGGTATAGTTGGCATGCCAAGAGTAGAGGATCTACGCGGTCCTTCGGGACATATATGTATTCTTTGGAACATGTGTGAGGTCTTTTGAGACACATATTTGATCAATGGCATATGTATATGATTCTAAAAGAATTTATACGTGGTCCTTATGGACATCTTATATGACACTTTGGTGCATTTCTACACGGTCCTTCAGGACAAATTCTACGTGCCCCTAGTGGGAATTTATACGAGCTGTGGTGACATCATAGTGCACAACCTCACAGTACTCACATACATTGGGTTCTCAGTATTGTATCATGGGCTAGTGAACTTATTATATGAATTCATGATGGTTAATTTGGTCAGATTATGGGTAAGATACATGGTTATGCAACTTGCATGGATTAAATATGTGATTTCGTTACATTTCATATAATTATATTTCATTGTTATTATCATTATGCCTCACTAAGTCGATGACTTAGCGTGTAAGTGTTTTACACGTAGGTACCGAAAAGTAAAAAGATCCAATATAAACTCAACAGAACAACATATCTCCACTTGAAGATCATATCAGAAGTAAATTACACAATATGTCTTGTTATGTGATAAATAGGTTGGCATGTAAACAAAGTTATTAAATTAAGTATGTATATTCTGATCGAGTTTTGTAATGTTTTAAACGTATTTATGTAAATAATAACTTTATAATGATGAAATTTTTAAATTTTTATGAGTTTTATATATGTTGGGCTGAAAATACTGTAGCAGTGGATCGGTACACTGTAGCAGTATCAATACACATTTTACATTCGATGTTTTTATGCATCGGTACTGTTAATTACTGTTCATACAGTATCGGTACTATTTACACAGTATCGGTACTATTCATATAGTGCAATACTATTCATAAAAACATTTTTTTGCCTTAAATTTGTTATAACGAAATATAATTCAACAGTATATTATAGTATTTTTTAATATAAGTCCAAATGTTCTGTTATTTTGTAAGAATATTGTTTTAAAAAGTAAATGTGACATCTCAGACTCGTATTCGGGTCGGGTACAGGTTAGGGGTGTTACATTTAATGGTATCAGAGCTACGATTTAGCCGATTCTAGGCATAAACCCGAGTCTAGAGTGTCTTTAAATTGAGTACATGCCAACATATAGTGAGGAATTATGATCTGGTATAGTAATGAGTATGTTGTTTTGCTAATAGAACGATATGTTTATTCTTATTAGATGTCCGGACATAGTAGCTCCCAAAGTGAAGCGAAAGAGGATAGACCAGCTGAAAGAAGTGATTCACTGGTGAAGGACGTTACTGTACAAGATCATGATACGTTCTTCAGGACGTTAGACGCTATTCTGACGCGTCTCCAACATCTTGTTCCATCAACTCCAGAGTAAATGTAGCAAAGGAGTTGAGAGGATTAGGAGCTCCTGAATTTAAGGGAGAAGCCGAGAAAGGTCCGGTTACGATGGATATTTGGCTAAATGATTTGAAAATCATGCTAGATGGTTTCCACTACTATGAAGTGGAGATGCTGGATGGAGTTGTGTCTTTATTAAGGGGTCAAGCGAGGATATGGTGGGCGAACGTTACCATGAGGATGTCAAGTGACCAGTTGACTTGGTCTCTGTTCTTGGAAGAATTTAAGCACAAGTATATTGGAGATCAGTTTATTCGCCAAATGAAGTAGGAGTTTATGAATTTAAAATAGATGAACCATTTAGTATATGAATACGAGTGCGAGTTTAATAAGCTGAGTCGGTTTGCAGATGAGCTTGTGCCTACTGA